TCAATTAATCCCTTAATTGAATTTGGATTTCGGGGTGTCACACATGGCCACTGGGCAGTGTGCCTGTATTTCTGGCCACGGGTGTGGCCACACCTGTGGCCATACCGGTGGCCAGCCTCTGCAACATTTGACATCCCCGTTTTTTCCCATTTAAAAGGGGATTTTTCCGCTCAAAAACACTTCTTTCATTTCCCTTTCATTCTCTAGTTAGGTTTAGCTCTGGAATAGCTTAGATTAGTGTAAATTACTTGTTCCTTTCCATTTCCAAGCTCAAGAACATTGCAATTCTTGGATTTCAAAGCTTCAATAGAGAAGTTTTCTTATTCATCTCTTCTCTTTACTTTTCATCTATGCTTTCAATTACTCTTTTAATATTGTGTATCTATTACTATATTATGAGTAGCTAAGTGTTTTGAGACTAGGATTTGGTTTGATTTCTTGCTATTGATGATTTGATGCCTATTTGAGTTGTATTGCATAAATGGGATTATTTGGGTTATCTAGAGTTTGTTGTGTGAATTGAGTTTGTTGTGAAATTATGTATAATTGTTGGATCACGATTATATGCTTTATTTGGAGTGTGTTTGTTGCTACGAGAGTAGATTTTGTACACTAACCACACATTCACACACTTAATGCCCAATACGAAAGTATTTTGGGTGTTAAGGAGAATTTATGCCTTGTGTTCTTGTTTGAGCAACCTTGGATTGAATTGTCACAAGAGTGGAGTTTAAGGTTAGGTTGCAATTAGTCCAAATAGCTACAAGAGTGGTATTTGGACACTTTTGTGCATCTCACTTATCCTATGCCTTGTTTAATTCCCTAATCCTTATTTTAATATTCGGCATCTTAGCTTGAATCAAAAGTCCCGGCCCTTTGTTTTGCTTGTCTATTTTGTTATTTGTTAAATCATATCAAACTAACTCATTAACGATTGGCCTAGCTTCTATAAGGATAGTTTTAGCCTATGCTTAACTCCACTTTGCATCAATTCCTAACGTTACAAGAGTCATCTCCAGTAGAACGATATCTAAACTCTATACTGCGATTTGATACTTGATGGATGTGTGAAAACCGTCATTCATCACAAGTAGTAAGAATAAATAAATGGAGGGTATTGGATTACCTTACCTTGCTCAAAGGCTATATGAAGTGTCTTTGGTGGAAGTTGGGAAGTGCTTGAATCGTGATTCTTGGAAGACGTTTTGTCTATTGCCAAAGTCATTCCGCTCATCGGCCTATCAAATGGATTGAGTTCTACTTTGGTAGCAACTTTAACCACCCGAGTCATTTCATCGAACACCTTGTCCACATCTTATTCTGAGCTCTGTCTTCCGACGTAATGTGGGAATTGCAAATGGAAAGGCTATAACATGCAATGTATCAACTTAATTAGGAGTTCGGCTCCTTGCATGCTCGTGCCTGGATCGTGGCTCTGTTTGTATGAAGCGTGCTTCACCCTGTTCAACTTTATGCATGTCCAAGTGTGAACCTCTGCACAAGCGTGTAAGCTAGAGTATAACTTTCTACCTATTTCTCCACGAGCCTCTGCACGACCATGTAAGCAAGAATACAACTTTTTGTCTGTTTCTCCACAAGTTGTACATGAGTGTGTAAGTGGTCGTGGAAACATCCTTCGACTTGATCTCATATTTTTGCTCCGAAATGACCAAATTGTCCTTCATAAAGCTCCAACTTCCTAAAAATGACAAGTGCACCCATAATTATCCATTATTTTACACTTTAAGCATTTTAAAGCATAATATCCATCAAATACACACAATTAATCTCCTATAAACACCCCACAATCAAAAGCATTTTAGCACTTATCAGTTATCAATACTATACACCTTTTTTCCCTTTATGATTTATTTTCTCGAACCGAACAATACCAAAGTAGTTAGATTTGGTAATATACCGAACAACTGAACGGTAATAGATTCTTGTATACCGAACGGTTCGGTAAAAACTCGAACCGAACTGAATTATTAGGGAAAAACTGAACCGAACCGAATACTTTTGAACTTTGGATTGCTATTTTGTTATATATTAGACTTTGGTTATGGACTATGTAAATGCCATAACACATAATATAGAACTTTTGATAACAAACCATAAAGAAATCAAATAAAACATTTACGAGAGATACCCGTGAGAATATGAGCTGAACGGCAGAGCAAGCAGCAAAGGAATTGGATTTTCTTTTTATTTATTTATTTATTTATTTATTTATTATTATTATTATTATTATTATTATTATTATTATTATTATTATTATTATTATTATTATTATTATTATATTTTAAAAAAAATCAAACGGTATTCGGTTCAGTTCAATTTTTTATCGAACCGTTCAGTATACAAGAATCCAATATCGTTCGGTTGTTCAGTATATTACCGAACCAATTGGCTCGGTACGGTTCGAATCGAGAAAACTAAACCGAATTGCCCACCCCTAAAGTTAATTACCAAAATGGTCCCTTGACTATAGCGAAATTATCAATTTGGTCCCAAGTTAACGATTGACTAACAGTCAAACAAACGGAGGACCAAATTGGTTAAACTTTTTTAAAGTTGAGGGACTTAATTGGTTAAAAAAAATAGTCAAGGTCCAAATTGGTAATTCACTATAGTCAAGGGACCATTTTGGTAATTAACTCTATACAATTTATATTCTGAATGTTTACAATTTGAATTGTGAGCGTTCAGTATGTAAATTGTGAACATTTAGTATATAAAATTTTGAACATTCAATACTTAAATTGTGTATTTTTAGATCCGAGTTCATCTTGCAATCCGGGTCTACGGAATAATTTGCGCTTGTACGGAGTATTTGCTATCCAACTAAACAAATCTAAATTTCTGAAAATTGCATCATATCATATCGTGGCTGTGTCTAGCAGTTGGAAACAAAATGACCTTCTTCAAAGGACAGTGTGCCAACAACAATACATGATGGGCCTTTACGTGTTGTTCCCAAACTTCATCTGATCTGTTTTTTGTATTCCATGAATCAATAATGAGCCGGGAATCATTCTGTTTTATGAGTTAGGAACTGAGACATAGTTGAATTGATTTCAGATCCTTAAGGGGGCGTTTGGTTCACGGAATCTTGGATTACCTAGGTCATTTGAGTCTGGTAATGTTATATTACCTTGTTCGGTTCAAGTTATGAGATTACCAGGTAATGTTATATTACCTGAAAGCTGATGTGGCGGTAATGTTTCAAGGTAATGTGATTACCCCCATTTTTTTAGGTAATGTTAGATTACCTTGAATTATTCCAACTTCGCCCTTGTTAACTAATCTTTATACTTGTTAACTAATCTTTATATAATAATAATAATAATAATAATAATAATAATAATAATAATAATAATAATAATAATAATAATAATAATATAATAATAATGAAATTAATATATGTTTATATAATTAAATATACATATGTGTATATTTATATATTTAGTTTTTTTTTTAATATTTAAATTTTGATACACATTCATAGATATATATAAAAAAAAACACACATAATATATATATATATATATATATATATATATATATATATATATATATATATATTTATTTATTTATTTATTTATTTATTTATTTATTTTTTATTGAGGGCATTATTGTAAATTAATCCATATAACCTAAAATATAACCCTGAACCAAACAAGGTAATATTATATTACATCATTCAAACCAAACACACAAGGTAATCTTACATTCCCAAAATCTCACATTACCTTCCAGGAGGTAATCCTATTACCTGGGGTAATCCAAGATTCCGTGAACCAAACGCCCCCTTAAAGGTAAAGTAAAACATTTTCTTTGGCACATTTTATGGCAATTTATATCATGAACCAAGTCTCACATAGTATTATGGACCATGAATTGAAACAACAAGATATATATAATTCACATACCATACAGAATTTCATAACACAAAATACAAAAAAATAATAATAAATAAATAAATAAATAAATAAAATCACAGTACAAGACACATAGCATAGCATTATAGACTCAGCTTGATTGAAAAGACGAGATACAGAATTCATACTCCTACGATAAAGAATTTCTTAACACAAGACACAAAAACTCCTAACACAAGACACATACATATCTTATATATTTACTTAATTTTCAAATCTATCTTAGGTACATAATTTGTGTTCATATGCATAAAATTTCACAACACAAGACACAAAAATTTATAACGTAAGACAAAATTATTAATTTATTCTAGATACAGAATTCATACTTATAAAATACAAAATTTCATAACACAAGATACAAAAAGTCATAACATAAAACACAAACACATGAACCAAGGTCCATAGTATAATGTGAACCCTGGTCCATGATATAACGATTGCATTTTATGTGCTTTTTTTTTTAGTTATTTAAGGTGATGAGACAGTTTCTTGATATATTTCAAGTTGATATGGAAGCAGTATTACTACTGCAAGTCTGCAACCTGCATTATATGAGTCTTGTAATACTGCAAGTTTGCCCCTAAAGTGATCATTTTTCTTGCAATCTCACCACCCCCAAATTTTATTAGGGATGCCATCACATTTCTACCTATGTACCCTTTATAATGTTCAAATTGTGTTACATCAATGTTCAAGCACTTCCAATCTGAATAGATCTGGGGGTAATCCAGCTAATATGGCTAAGAATACAAACTTGTAACCACAAGGTCACATGTTCGAATCTCAGTCTTCTTGGTTTGAGCTGGTCAGCTATGCGCAACCTAGGCTAGTTTACCTCTTTGTAGTCCTTTGTCGACTAGGGTCACAAGGCGGGATTTACCCCGTGCACACCCTCATGTTGTGGCTGTGGGTTTTCCTCGTCACTCCAAAATGTGATTAGATCTGAGCAGTAGAGGTTTTGTTCAGAAAGGGTGGTTTTATGCTGTGCTTATAAGTTAAAATAACATACAAAATCAATTTCTAAAAAATTACAGCAATGAAATTCATGCTGTTGCATTCTTATGCAAAAATCACATAATCAAATGCATACAGAAATAACACAGCACCAAAGGTAACAGACCTTGTGAAGAAAGATTTTGTATATAGATGCTGTTTTTTCAGTGCAGTGGAAAAGTGGAATCTCCAACAAGCTTATAGTCTATTCATGTCAGTGGAGAACAAGGTTGGTAGATGATCATTCTTTCTGTTTACAACAAATTACAAAAAAAAAAAAAAAAAAGCCACTCTACAACCGAAAGAGATAATCTCAGTAGCGCCTCAAAAAGAAATCGACTCTGAAAAGTGTGGCAAATAAGAGTGGGAAGATTCAACTGGTTCCAAATAGCATGAGAAGTGTCACAAGTAGAAGTGCTCGAGAGATAAGACGAAGCTTTAAGACTAGTCCGGCTGAACTAGTATCAGGTGTATAGCTTCCCTCGGGTGTGCTTGTTGTCAAAATAACAACTACCCAGTCATCTTCGGAACCAATTCCAATACCAGAAAACTTGGTATCATTGAGGTAGCTCGAGTACTGTGACAACGTGTAGTTGGAGAGAACAAGAGCAGCGTCGAGATGAGGAACACAAGCAGGCAATATCGCTCCATCCCGTGTGGTGGTGACATTCAAGTCGCACTTGTCAAGAAGTTTAGGGTAGTCTGTAAACCTAGGCTCGTTGCCTGGAACAGTGTTGGAACCTGTGCTATTCGTACATGGCTGACCTTTAAACTGATCCGCCATTTTCTCAGCAAGGCATTTTGCTTTCTCGTTCTCAGTTAGACGTGTCAAGTTTAGCGTTGCCCTGTAACTGTTGATTCCTCGAAAAAGGTTGTCTTCCTCATCTGTATGAAGCACCAAAGACCAAACTTTTATTGCCAGAATTGAATTGAATTGAATTGAAACATTAAAGACAGTCAAGAAACAGATTTCTAAGACTTCTCTTGTTCCTCCCTGCAACTCATTCTAAGAACCTGTGGCAAACCTTACCACCAAACAGGAGTGCTAGAGGCATTCTAAATGCAAAATTGAAGCATTATTGTTCTAAGGAAAAAGTTACACTTTTCGTCTTTAAGTTATATAGTAATAGTAATTATAGAATTCGTCTCTAATTGTTGGTCGTGCTCACTTATCATCCCTAAGCTATAATTAACGTTGCAAATTTCATCCTTTTAATAACAAGTCGTGCTCACTTTTCGTCCCTAAGCTATACTAACGTTGCAAATTTCATCCCTAATATTTTGATAGCAAAGGGACGAAATCTGCAACGTCAATTATAACTTAAGAAGCTTAAGAACGAAAAGTGAGCACAACGAACAATTAGGAACGAATTCTATAATTGCCCTATAATTTAGGGATGAAAAGTGTAATTTTCCCTCGTTCTAAAGATCTGTGGCGTTTTTTCAACATAAAAAAAAAAAAAAAAAAAAAAAAAAAAAAAAAAAAAAAAAAAAAAAAAAAAAAAACCTCAGCACAACATTTCAAATAGAAAATCTGGATTCAGATTTAGAGATCTAACAGAGTCGGAAGAAATGCCAAAATATTCAGGAAATTTTAACTAGGATTTCCAAGGAAGGAGTAAATCAAACCTTATCTTGTATAATAATTAAGTGTAACTTAGCAAAATGGAAAGAGATCCAGCAGGATTTTAAACTTACCAATTGAGATCAAACTTTCATATTACATCAATAAATAAAACACCTCCATTTGTGAATCTGACGAAGATTCAAATTGAGAATTGAAATAGAGTGTTTAGCAGATCAAGCCCAACACAAACAAAGACTTTTACTTGCAGATAATCACTTCTATGGATGTATAATCTAAACACTTTTCAGCTTCAATTGAGAGCAACAATATAATACACATCCATCCAGATCTTCAAATCCCAGAAGAAATCTATCAATCACCAAACTCTAACTCAAACTCAAAAAACCCATTGCTTTAAATAACAAAATATACTTCAAACGAGCTCATTCCATTGCTCCAAAGAGGCAGAAAAGCAAATAGATAAAGCAGCATTATACTAAATACAGCATTTTTGGGAAGCAAATTCAACAAGGAGAGATGAAGTCAGTAACTCACCGTCGCATCTGACATTGATGAAGAAAATGGACTGGAGAATGAGAGAGATGAGGAGGAGGCGACGTAGAGACGACGTCATTGCTAAAATTCTTGGGTTTTTCAAAGCTGAAGGGGAAAAGGGGAGAGGAGAGAGAGTAAATTTATACAGGGATTCGAGAGGTAAGAAGTATGACTCACCACCTTGCGACGTATCAACCGGAACTTGCGATATTATAGTTAAGTTTACGCAACCTCGTTTACAAGATAGTATCTATTGTATAGTTACTCACACATTTTCAGTTCAAATAATTTAAGTTCCTACTATTGAGATTTGAATTTGTAATAATCTATTTAGAATGGTAACTGATATTGTTATCACACTATATGGTAATTTACAACTTCATTTTTGAATTGAATGCAAACAAAAACAAAAAATGCTCTTCGAAAATTCATTTCTATGTTTGTATTTTTATGTTTTTAGATACTCATGATTCTTTACAAGATAGTATATATATTGAGTTAATACCATCTGAGGTCCTCCGAATATAGTGATTTTGCCATGTTTAGTCCTAAACTTTCAAATTGATCATATGTGGTCTTCGACTTTCAAATTTAACCATTCATGGTCCAAGTTAACCACCCATTGTCCTTCAAATATTTTATTTTAACCAACCATGGTCCTTTCAAGAGGACCACGACCGGTTAAATTTCGAAACTTGAAAGACCATGGGTGGTTAACTTGGACCAAAAATGATTAAATTTGAAAGTCGAAGGACCACAGATGACCAATTTGAAAGTTTAGAACTAAACGTGGCAAAATCACTATATTCGGAGGACCTCATATGGTATTAATTCTATATATATTTTATACTTTCTCAATCATTTTCAATCCAAAAGATCCAAACTCCCAACACCAAAGTTTAAATTTATAACAATCTATTTAGAATGATAATCGAGATAGCATTACAATACATTGCTAATTAGCAACCTTGTTTTCGAATTGGACGCAACCAAAACAACAAATGCTCTTGGAAATTTTATTTCTATGTTTGTAATTGAATGCAAAAAAATTACAATTGTAGTAATCCAAGTCAAATAAAAGATGTACGATTAGGAAAATTTTAATTATCATTACCATAGTCGTTTCAATTTCACTTTTTTTCTCTAATTGAAATTTTAATTTGGTTGGATGTAATTGAAATTCCGTTCCTACTTTATTCCATGGCAAAGGAAATTACAGTGTTTGGTTGAAGAAAATTGCAATTCCCTCATTTTGCTGAATTGTAATTTATGGGCACCCCTTTTGAATTGCAATTCGGTGGTTGTGGGAAAAGAAAAAAATGAGGAAATGACAAATGTACCCTTAATTAATACTATCCTTTATATAATAAAGCTATATGATTTGGGAAATAATTAATTAATATTACAATTAATGCCACAACATCTTTTATTATAAAAAAAAAAACACAACATTTAAAAAATAAAATAGCTATATATTATATAATCATATAAAAAATATACTTTTGAAAAATAAAATAGCTATATATTATATAATCATATAAAAAATGTGTTCAATTAGAGTTCAAATTTACATATACAAAATTTGAAATTTGCTTTACAAATGTAATTATCTTAGTTATTATTCGTATTGTGAAAATTATAATATAGATGAAAAACAATTAAGAATAAATCAATGTAATTATGTAAATTCTCTCTATAAGTTTATTTGAATATGCACATAATTAGAGATTATATTAATCATACAAAATTATAATTATAATTTTAATTATAATTTTAATTTTAATTGTAATTTTGTATTCTATAAAAATAATAAATACTTGACCAATGGAAGCTCAAAAATATTATTATATTAAATAATTTAAAATATTTTAGTTTTTCTATTTTTTATTTATATTTATAATAACATAATTTTTTTTCCGTGCATCGCGCGGGTGAATTACTAGTTATTATTATTATTACACAAGGACATTTTAGTCTTTATATCATTCATTTTCTTTCCAATAATTATATTCATCCCTACCAAACAATGTAATTTAAATTCCTACTTTATTCTTTTCCCACCGAAAACCAAACGCCCTGTAAAGACAGTCTAATTTAATCTTCAATTTCAAATGACTTTCTAATTCGTCATACCTTTAATTAGAAAAGTATACATATATTTATAGTCAATGTGTGACAGATCATCGTAAGGTTTTGGAGAGAAGAAATTGAAACGAAAAATACTGTAAATTTTATTCAACAACCACAAGAGTATGCAATAGCTTACATTTAAACAATGAAGAAAGGTAAAAATGTAAAACACACAATAGTAACAAACTTAACATCCTAATTAACTTCATACGACCTTGCTTGGCCTAGTATTCGGTTGATCAACCTTAGCGTCAAAACGGTGTCGTCTCAGCTTGCTTCATTTATTTATCTTCACTGCTAGTACTAATCTGTAACATAACCCTTCTCATCAGCAAGTTCTTGTCCTTCGCCACTATGCAAGGACTTCAACCACCACAACAACGTTCCAGCACAGCTAGGAGTTGCAACAGTGTTAGGGGATCGATGTTTTCTCCCATATTTCTGTGGTATCTATCACAACTTGCCTCATACTCTTTCACTTCCTTGATAGGGCATCAGCAACTTTGTTCTCAATTCCCTTCCTATACTGTATATTGTAATCCAATCTTAGGAGTATGGTGAGTTCTTTTTACTTAATTAGAGTAGTCACTTTTTGTTCCAGCAACTATGATATGTTAGACTAAAATATCACATGCATCATATAGTATATGATATAGTATGTGATAACAGGACCGACTAACCTCTAGCCATACCTCTTTAACGCGGTTGAACGATCCGGACTGCTGCAGAGATAACGAGTACTTTGTCTCTCACTTCTCTCTAGATGGTGTATGAGGTATGTAATGTAAGCAGTGAGAGGACTAGTGACCTTATATAACCACTGGCCATCATTGTGGTTGTATGTCTTTAGGTCTCCTAAATCTTAACTAGACTTCCAATCATAATAATAGTCTAGCTATTACAGCACGTTTGGTTCACGGAATGAATTTTGAGGTAATAGGAATGCTATTCCATAAGGAATGGAATAGGCAAGGAATAGAATAGAAATTGTATTCTATTGTTTGGTTCGCGGAAGGAATAGACTTTAGGAATTATATTACAGTGTTTGGTTGATTTAAGGAATAGAAATGAAATATGTTTTAAAAGACATAAATACCCTTATAAAAATATGTGATGTTGCCGATGGTGGTGGTAGTGGCGGTGGCGGTGATGGTGGTTGTGATCGTGGCAATGGTGGGGGGCGACGGTGGTGGTGGTGACGGTGACGGTTGTGGCAGTGGTGGTGGGGGCGGCGACGGTTGTGGCGGTGGTGGTAGTGGTAGCGGTGGTGGTTCTGGTGGCGGCGGTGATGGCGGTGGCGATGATGGTGCTGGGGTGGTAGTGGTGGCGGCGGCGGCGATGGTAGTGGCGGTGGTGGTGGCGATGGTGGTGCTGGGGTGGTAGTGGTGGTGGTAGCGGTGGCAGTGGTGGGGGCGGCGACGGTTGTGGCGATGGTGGTGGTGGTGGCGACGGCGATGTTGGTGGTGGTGGTGGTGGCGGTGGCGGCGGCGGCGGTGATGGTGGCAACGACGGTGGTGAAATAGGATAAATTTATATATATGATAAAAAAAAATAGGTTAAAGAAAGGGGTAAAAAAGGAAATAGATTCTAAAATCTATTCCTGAGCGTTCAGTAATAGGCTAATACCAGGGGGCCCTAGTAATAGCTATTACCTCATTTGAGGTAATAGGCTATTACCAGGAATATTATTCCTGGTAATAGAAATGGTTACCAAACAAAGGAATAGGCCTATTACTGGGAATGCTATGTCATTCCCGGTCTATTTCGTGAACCAAACGGGCCATTAGATTATTAGTGTTGCACCACATATCAAACACTTAATATTATCATAACTTATCCTAATGTTATAATAATAATAATGGATAAAACGTTACATGATAACCAGTCCTAATCACAAATTTTCTCCCTTATCTATAAGGTCTCCATTTATCCCAAACATTTATAATTGACAAATACTCTTTCTCGTGTATTGACATGCCAATACCTTGGAACTTACATATGCTTCCACTACAATGTCTTACCTGCTTACATGCTTACACATGCCCACAATGTTAGATATACAATAGTCTAACTATATGTACCATAGTATACGAGAAACCTAACCTCGTATGATAGCGGAAGCGTAGCCGTGTTGATCTCCAGACATAGTTGATGTTCCTGTTGTGTTGCCTCTTAACGGTAGACCGTCAGCCATGTTTTGCCTTAGACCTGACTCAGAACCCTAGATGGTGTATTGGTATCTACTGAGCGGTCTGAGTACCGTAACTGAATGTGCTATCTAATCCATAATCCTGTATCCCATCAATCCAGGTTATATTAGGCATAGAGTTTGGTTGACTAACAACTACTAGTTATTAAGTCCAACCAGACCACTTAATAAGCCTAGTCAACTTGCACCACTTAATTAAGGCCCTAATATATAATATACAATATATATTATAAGGGAAAAGCTTACATTCTCCCACTTGGTGCAAGTACTAGCACAACCTTCATCAAAGAACAAAACACACGAATCATAGTGACATGTCCTCTATTTAATCAGAGTAGTGTCCATTATGGTCACATGCATTTTAATTCTCCAACTTAGGTCCTTAATGAACAAACCCTATGTTTATTCTCGGTACCTTAAGGGATGTTTCTCAAAATACATTATGTGCACAACTGAAGGAGAAAACGCATCCAAATTGTACAAAAGAGTACACTGTATGATCTCTAAAACTTTATAAGCATGCCTTAAGTAGAGATCTCTTAATGTTAGCATAATGCTAACTATATTCCATGACTTCTTTATAAGTTAACTTTAAGTACTATCTCTAACAGCTAAGAGCTTGGAGTTGACACGTCTGTCACTCCCACTCATCAAAAATAGCCAAAAGATAGTCAAGTCACAGAAGCATTCCAATAACTTAGACAAAAAAACAAAGGTCTAAGTCCATAAATTTGGAATCTTAATCATACACCATAACTTCCCAAATAACTTCAATGTTCACTTTAAACGAATTGAACATAATGAGTCTTACTTATATGTCCCACAAAATTGTCTTAAGCCTTACAAACCAAAATGGTC